AAGACTGTGACAATCTTAACTAAACTTCAAACCTAGTGTAAAATATTTGTTAAATTCCTATTAATTAAAAAAATATTACAATAACTTTACAATGACAACAGCTTTAACAACGACAAACAAGAGCTACTTGATGGAAGATGGTCGAGGCTCCTGAGGTTGAGGCTTGCCATGAAGGCAAGGGAAAAACCACACAAAGCTGCATTACTACAGGACAGTCATCTCCAAGTCCTAGCTCAGAGCTAGAGGAAAGCAGGGTGAGAGAGCGCCATCTATTGGTGGCCTGAAGTATTTGTCTGTATTCAGTTCAGTTCAGTCACAGTCGTGTTCGACTCTTTGGGACCCCATGGACTGCAGCACCCCCAGGCTTCCCTGTCCATCATCAACTCCCGGCGTTTACTTAAACTCATGTCCATTGAGTCGGTGATGCCATCCATCTATCTCATCCTCTGTTGTCCCCTTCTTCTGCTGCCTTCAGTCTTTGTCAGCAACAGGGACTTTTCCAGTGAGGTGGCCAAAGTATTTGAATTTCAGCTTCAACATCAGTCCTTCCAATGAATATTCAAGACTGATTCCCTTTAGGATGGACTGGTTGGATCTCCCTTCAGTCCAAAGGGACTCTCAAGAGTCTTCTTCAACACCACAGTTCAAAAGCATCAATTCTTCAGTGCTCAGCTTTCTTTATAATCCAACGCTCACATCCATACATGACTACTGGAAAAACCATAGCTTTGACTAGATGGACCTTTGTTAGCAAAGTAATGTATCTGCTTTTTAATNCGTTACTTTACTAATGTGTGAGATGAGTGCAATTGTGCGGTAGTTTGAGCCTTCTTTGAAATTGCCTTTCTTTGGGATTGGAATGAAAACGGACTGTTTCCAGTCCTGTGGCCACTGCTGAATTTTCCAAATTTGCTGACATATTGAGTGCAGCACTTTCACAGCATCATCTTTCTTGATTTGAAATAGCTCAACTGGAATTCCATCACCTCCACTAGCTTTGTTTGTAGTGATGCTTCCTAAGGCCCACTTGACTTCACATTCCAGGATGTCTGGCTCTAAGTGAGTGATCATACCATCATGATTATCTGGGTCGTGAAGATCTTTTTTGTACAGTTCTTCTGTGTGTAATATATGTCAGCCTAATTGCAATTTGATATTTTAGTAGCTGTTACCTGCCAAAAATATATATGACCAGTAACTGCCATGATTTTCCCATTTTTTAACTGGGCTATGATGACGTCATTGCCCTCTGTTAGAATCCACACCAGTCATCCTAAAAGTTGTGAGCCAAGGTGCCACAGCATCAATGCCTTCTGATTTTCAGGCCAACAGATCACACCATTACTACTCACCATGAACTACACCAAACTGGCTGTTGAACCTTAACAGTGGCCTAGTTTTAGCAATGCATGATTCTTCACTCTGCTAGTCAAGACTCTTCACTCCCTTCTCTAGGGAGCCCTCTAAAACATTTTACTATTCCTATTTTTCAAATCATGAATAGAAAAATTTCATCAACTAGAAAGTAATCATTATACATTTTATCAATAATAATCATGACAAGGTGTTTAGCTCTTGTATCCTGAGACTGTCTGTTCTCAAAGTTTGCAATGAGTGTTTCACAAAGAATCACTTGTATAGCAGAAAATCTCTCTGAATGCCTATCACAGATCTATAATATTATCATAAATATTCATCCAACTACCACTGAGCCTGCCTGCCAACGCAGAAGACTTTAGAGATGAAGGTTCAATCCCTGGGTAGGGAAGATTCCCCTGGAGGAGGGCACAGCAACCCACTCCAGTATTTCTGTCTATAGAACCCCCTTGGACAGAGGACTTGAATAGGCTACAGCCCACAGGGTCACAAAGAGTCGGACAAGACTGAAGTGACTTAGCATAGCACAGCACACTATTTAGAAACTCGATCTCAAAAGTGAATTCCTTGATACTCAGAGATAATACAATCAAGTCCAAACTCACTGTCTGAGCTGTACCATTTAGGCATGTTAAGGTAAAACATTTTAAATTCAATATTCATCTGAGTGAATATATTAAGGAGATCTTAAGGTTTCTACAAGCCAAAACAGACTAATAATCTTGATTACCTTCTTTGTCCTAACAGTATTAAACATGATATGACTTAATACTCATAATAGCCCACAACACAAATATTATCTCCATGTTACAATAAGGCAACAGAGGCTCCAAGAAAATAATTCAACTGAGACTGAGCTCATAATCGGCAAGGACAGAGCCAGTATCTGAGCACAGTCCTGATGCGACGAAGCTGTGGAATGCTCCTCTATCATATCATCTACTGCCCAAACTACACAATGTTCAAATTTCACGAGTATTTAAAGACATTATTAAAGCATATTTTAACAGTAATTTAAAAACACATCTAACCTTTGAGAAATATATAAAAAGTTGAGTTAAGTGGCAAATTATCTTAATCACCCAGGAAAAGATAATTAACATAATGTAGAAGCAAATATTTCATACTTCATATTCCATTTAATGCTCCTCTTCTAGCCTTTTTCTTTATATAACTTTCACTGCAGACCTTCCTGTTGGAAAAAAAATCTCAGTGACATAGAGAGGAAAAAATGTCCACTCTCTCCCTACAGTTTCAAAAATGCCCAGAGATTATCTGTACCTTAAATGTGATTCTGATACCATAGCAAATTGTAAACATTCTAGAAGACACCTTACTCTTCTATTAAGTGTTCCTGCAATGCTTTCTGTATAAAGGGATCTTGTAAGGCACCAATTTACAACTCATCCAGAGACTGCAACCATGTTATGTGAAAATAAATCTTTAATCTCTAAATTCAATAATCTAATTCTCACCAGTAACTTTAACTTTTTATTTTTTGCTCTAGTAATTTAAAGAGATTAACTAGATTAATCTAGTAACTTAGAGAGATTAAAACAAATTGATTAGTATTTGATTAGTAACTAATCAATTAGTAATTGATTAGTATTGAGATTAGTAACTTAAAAAGATTAAAAACAATTGTAAAGTTTCTTTGCAAAACCAGAAAGATCAAGGACACTTCTATCATAGCAATAAGATAAAACCTAACTCACAAATTCTTTTTTAAACTAAAAAGTTTGAGACTTTCCTTTAAATTATCAGAAGTAAAATAAACGTGATGCATTCAAATTTAATTTTGGAAATATATCTGTGTTGAAATAAAAACTGACTACATAATTATTTTTAAGTTAAAAGCATTTAGACAAACTACCAGTATTGTTTGCAAAAGAAAAACTACTTTCTTTTAACTTTTAACTATCTTTTAACTGTAAAGAAATAACCAGAAATCTCTATTGTTTGCTTCATAATATTTTTCTTCCTGCTTATAGTAGTGAGGGACACTACAGGATTAGGAGCATTAATGTGCTCCTCAATGAAAGAGACCCCATAGGCCACATTCTCTTTAAAATATTTTTTTAAAATCTTAAGAAACAATAAGTGAACGTAATTCTTCTTATCAAGACACAAATTCTGAGAAACACTAAATTTTTATGTTCCTTAATAAAACTTTTTTACTTAAAAAAATCATTTAATTTTCTTAGTTGCAAAGTATCTGCATGCAAATTATGTGTTAATTACAGAAGGAATAGCAGTAACTATACAGAAGAGAAAAACATCTTAACCAAGTGATTAAAATTAACATCACTAACAAAAGGCCAACAGAATTCATGAACCTCTGGGTGTGACACCCCGAGAACACACTGCTTACTACTCCAGCCCCAAATGGATCAGCTCATCCTAATTATAAGGAAAAGCAAACAAATTCAAACTGAGGGGCAGTCTATAAAATTTCTAGCTTGTGTTCTCAGAAATACCAATCTCGACTGAGATAACCACTGAACGCTAACGTTAAAAGCAACTGAAGAGACTGAGAGTCAATGCAAAATGTGATCCTGGATTAGATTCTGCACCAAAAAAACGAAAGCAAGATGAAACATTACTTGGACAACTGATGAAAGCAAAATATGATATAGGTAAAATGGAAGTATTTTATTGATTTAAATTTCTTAAAATGAGAGTTGAACTGTGTTTAGGATAATGTTAGTGTTCTTAGGAAAAACACACTGAAGTACTATGGGATATGCAAACTACTTTCAGGTAGTTCAAAAAATAACATGTCTAACTATAGGAGGAGAGAATTATGACATGTGGAAAACGCTGAAAATTGATGAATCTAGTAAACAGCATATAGAAATTATTTTGTACTATCTTTGTAATCTTTCTTAAAGTTTGAAATTATTTCCACTGCTATGCATACACACTGAGGAAACCAGATCTGAAAGGGACACATGCACCCCAATGTTCATCGCAGCACTGTCTATAATAGCCAGGACATGGAAGCAACCTAGATGCCCATCAGCAGATATTTATTTTTTTTTTTCCATTTATTTTTATTAGTTGGAGGCTAATTACTTTACATCATTACAGTAGTTTTTGTTAAACTAGTACTTTAAACACTACTATAAGGAGCTGTGCCAGATTGTAGATCAATACACAGTTTATTTCAACAACAAAACCCTTGCTATGAAAAAAATGTCAGCTCTACTAAACTGCACTCAGTGACATTCTGGCACGACCTGGTAACAAAAAGTTTATCTAGTGGCACTGTACTTTCAATAGTACAGTGTACTTTGAATGGATGATCTTATATGCCATCTTTTTGCAATCACTAAAACCTTAAAATTATGCATATGCATTTGGAATAACACACACCACATTATCGCAGTTAACTCTGGGTAACACAACTGAAGGTGCTTTTTTTCTTCTTCCCATATTTTGGAATGTTTCTACAGTGAACATAGATTAGTTTTACCAGAAAAAAGGAAACTTTTTAAAAAGACTAAGTGAAAAAGAACTAAATAGCACGCAATCAGATTTCTTAGAACTTGAATCCTATGCCAAACATGACATTTTTCTTAACTTTACACACTGCCAAAATTTTTCCAAAAGGACTCACTTACAGCTGATCTTGAAGCTCCACAATTATATATTCTAATTGTTCCTTCTCCAGTTTATGAGCCAGGTCAGAATCTTCAATCCTCTGTAGTAGTATTTTATTCTGAGCGACAGATTCAGACAGCTGGTTCTCTCGAAGTTGTAAGAGTTCTTCAAGATAACCCTGGAAATGACAAGTGCAAAATTCTAATATGTATCTTGAAGATCAATGCTGAGTAGATTAAATGCTATTCTTAGCTATGTTGTAATTAAATAATTTCAAAGTATCACTGAAGAAATGGTAAACAAAACAGCTTTAACTGAATTAAAAATTTAACATATGTTCTCCATTATTTAAAGTTCTCTAAAGTTCAATAAAGTATGTTTATAATTTAACATAAAACTGAGTTAAAACATTATAATTTCTAAGCTCTGCAACAGTGATAAACACTCTAAATGCCTTCAGGCTTCAAAACAGACCTAATTATAGAATGATTAATTAAAAATCTGCCTCTCGGTGATTATTTTTCAAAAACAGTTATTAACATTTTAGCATTAGCATATTACAGAAAAGCAGTATAATGTCTAGGTTAGGCCTACAGGGTAAGGGACTGTCTCCTGTCATATTCCAGTTCTACTACTTATAAACTAAGGGTCCTTGGGTAAATTATTCAGTCTCTCTGGGACACAGCTTAGTTTAAGCTATGCATGATTATTTGTAAACATCAGTAATTAAACAACACAAATTCCCAGCACCTGGATTCACTGCCAGTACTCTGAGTCACATGATGTCTTTCTGATCACATCCCCTGTTCTCTGCAGAAACGACAACATCCTGAGATTTGTGTTTATCAACCCCTTGCTTTTCCTTCCAGCATCACCACAAATGTATGTCTTCTTAAACAATACACTGTTTCGTTTGGCTGAGTTTTATCCATATTCTTTTGCAACTTGCTTTTTCATCCAGTGATGAGTCTCACTACAGTTGGTACATTTACTCTCAACAGCGCATAGTATTCTGTTGTATGAATACTGCAGCTTATTTACTCACTCTCCTATCAATGGTCATTTAGATTATTTTACATATTTCTTAATATAAACAACATTACTGTGAACAGTCAGTTATATGATACCTGGTACAGACATCTGAGAGTTTCTAGGAGACATGACTAGGATTAGAGTTGCTGGGTCATAGGCCTTAGATATCTGCGCACTTACTAGATAATGCTGAACTGTTCATGCCACAGGTTTTAACACTAATCATATCCCATTTGAATTCATGTGACTGTATATTAGTATCAAAGTTACACTGAATTCATAAAATTAATTGGAAAATATTCCTTCTTTTCCTATTCTCAAGAACAGCCAATAGAAAATAGGAATTACTGCCTCTTGAACATTTAGCAGCATCTACCTCAAAAACCAAACAGGTCTGATGATTTGAGGGGAAGGAGGGGACAGATTTTGAACTACTTGTTTAATTTCTTCAATGATTATAGGTCTATAAGTTTTGAGAAGTAGTATTTATAAAAACTCTTCATCCAAATTTTCTAAGGTACTGACATAAAATTGATAAAATTATTAATAATTATGGGAGGGGTCTCCCTGGCATTTATGGTTATACTGTCTATTCTCTTTTAATTCTTAAAATCATCTATCTGTGCCTCAATTCTGTCTATTTAATTTGTTTGTACAGATAATCAGCTTTTGGTTTAACTGATTGTTTATTTCATTAATACCTGCTCTTATTTTTATTATTTTGAACTGTTTGTTGTTTTTGTTTACGTCTTGGATGCTTAGCTCTTTAATTTTCATTCTTTTCTAGGATAAGTAATTCTTCAAGTACTGCACAAGTTGCATCTTAGTACTATCAGTGTGCATTGTTTTCATTCCTGTTCATTTCTAAGTATTTTCTCATTTCTTTTTGACCCATCATTTAGAAGACTTTATTTTTTTAAAATCCCCATTGGTGTACTTTAGGTGGTGGTAATCTTTTTCTATTGAATCTAATTTTATTGGATTGTGGTCACTATTGTATCATTTTTGTATTTGCTTTGTGACCTAGTATAGCCCATAAAAAAAAAATAGTTGTCCCATGTATGCTTTAAAAGAATGTGTATTCTAATTGTTAGCATTTACCATATTTCTAAAAAATAAACTTATTTATTTATTTTGGGCTGGGCTGAGTCTTCACTGCTGCGTGGGCTTTTCCCTAGGTGCAGAACATGGGGGTACTCTCCAGCTGTGGTGCATGCGCTTTAGGGTGCACGGGTTTCAGTAGTTACCCCCCAGGCTCCAGAGCACAGAATTAATAGTAGGAGTACATGGACTCAGTTGCTCTGAGGCATGTGGGATCTTCCCGGATCAGGGACCGAATCCAGGTCTTCTGCACTGGCAGTCCACTAATAAAAATTGTAAATAATGCATTCATTGACCGGCATGTGGATTCTTTACCACTGAGCCACCAGAAAAGTCCCTACCATAATTTACGTCAAGCTTACTAGTTGCGTTGCTCAAGTTCATTACATCCTTACCAATTTTTTGTCTGTTTAATCTGTAATTATTGGGATGTTAAAATTTTCTACTATTATTATGGATTTATTCATTTCTCCTAGATAGCCTATTAATTTCTATTTCATATTTTTCATGGCTGAATTTTTAAATGCATGTAAGTTCAGTACTGTTATAGATTGCTGGTGAATTCTTCTCTTTTAAAAAGGTAATATCTTTCTTTAGTCTTAATAATACTTTTTGTCTTTTGATGTCTAGTGTGAATTATACCAATATAGAATTATTTTGGTTAGTATTTGCTACTCTATTTTATCCTCCTAGTTTCAACGTTTTTTGAGTCACTATTTTATGCATGCCTTTTACAAACAGACTGCATGTCACTAAAACTTATGATTTAAAAAATAAATTTAAGGCAAAAACCACTACAATATTGTAAAGTAATTAGCCTCCAATTAAAATAAATAAATTTAATAAAAAATAAAAACAAAAAAATAAATTTAAGTGTTTGTCTTTTTTCCTTTACTTTTTAAATTATTATTTTTTTGGCTTCTCCATTTTAGCTTGTGAGAACTTAGTTGCCTGACCAGTGGTTGAAACAGGGCCTTGGGCAGTGAGAACACAGTCTTAACCCCTGGACCACCAGGCATTCTCAAGAGTTTGTCTTAATTGGCAAGCTTATACCTTTTCCTTTTATGGCAATGCTGACTCTTGGTTGTATTGAGATTTGTTTTTTTTTTTTTTTAATACTATCTTCATTTTTTCTCATTTGCTCTTTTCTATTGTAATAATCACATTTTCTTTATTTCTTCTCTTTCTTATTATCAGTTTAAAAGCGATATATTCTATTTCTTTAACTGCAATTTTGGAAACAGGCATATACCTTAAAAAGGGTGTCTACACTCCTTTTACACTACACTACTTATAATACATAGATCCTAAGAGGCTTTAACTTCAATCACTCTCTCTCACCCTTTCTGATATGATTAGAGTGTTTAATTCCATTTTACTTCCCAGGGAGGGCTGAAGCCAGACCTGAATGTTAAGCTTCCAGTATTTTGTAATTCAGTCATTAAAACACTGCTATTATTAACAATTAAATTATATAAACTTAGTTAAGTAAACTGTATTGAAAAACAAGGATTAAGTAAACTGTATTAAAAAAAAAACTACTCAAAATAACCACTACTTAAAATAACTACTACTCAAATAGTAGTAGTTGAGTAGAAATAACTACTCAAAATCCATCACTTCCCAAGTATTTTACAATAGTATACTATCACTATCTGTGCTCTTCAAGTCACAGTCACTGTATTTCTCTGGGAGAAAAACTATGTAATTGTGAGCTACTGTGCATCTCTCCCTTATCTTGCATTCAGTAACATCAAACAGGTAGTTTTAAGTTGGCCATGACGGGAGTATTTATCCCAGAGAAATCAGCAAATGAAAGCAAATCCGAGCTCATCTACTTCCCCTGCAAAACCAGTTCATCAGCATATTCCAGAATACCACTGCCACCCCATAGTGGCATTAACACTGCTGCTATCTCATGTAGTCAAGGTTTACCAATTTCTGTGCTTGCTCTGTCACTGTGCATCTCATTCCTGTCTTTGAGGTTCAATTTCCAACTTGAATGATAGTGGGCCTAGATTTACTGTGCCCTGTTGGTATTAAAACACAGGTACCTAGGTTAAGGGAATGGCCCCTCACCCCCACCCCAGGAGTTTCTAATGGCTTTAACTCATTTCACCCACTTGTCTTTAGGCCCTTCCTTGTTTATACAGTCCTTTGGTTCAGTTCAGTCGATGATTAGTCATGTCCGAGTCTTTGTGACCCCATGGACTGCAACACACCAGGCTTCCCTGTCCAGCACCAACTCCTGGAGCTTACTCAAACTCATGTCCATTGAATCGGTGATGACAGCCAATCATCTTGTCCTCTGTCATCCCCTTCTCCTCCTGCCTTCAATATTTCCCATCACCAGGGTCTTTTCAAATGAGTCAATTCTTCCCATAAGATGGCCAAAGTATTGGAGCTTCACCTGAAGCATCAGTCCTCCCAATGAATGTTCAGGACTGATTTCCTTTAGGATGGACTGGTTGGATCTCATTGCTGTCCAAGGGACTCTCAAGAGATTTCTCCAACACTACAGTTCAAAACCATCAATTCTTTGGCACACAGCTTTCTTTATAGTCCAACTCTCACATCCATACATGACTACTGGGAAAACTATAGCCTTGACTAGATGGACCTTTTTTGACAAAGTAATGTCTTTGCTTTTCAATATGCTGTCTAGGTTGGTCATAGCTTTTCTTCCAAGGAGTAAACGTCTTTTAATTTCATGGCTGCAGTCACCATCTGCAGTGATTTCAGAGCCCCCCAAAATAAAGTCTGTTACTTTTTCCATTGTTTCCCCATCTATTTGCCATGAAGTGATGGAACCGGATGCCATGATCTTAGTTTTCTGAATGTTTTAGTTTTCTGAGTTTTAAGTCAACTTTTTCACTCTCCTCTTTCACTTTCATCAAGAGGCTCTTTAGTTCTTCTTCACTTTCTGCCATAAGNTCCATCACCTCCACTAGCTTTGTTCGTAGTGATGCTTCCTAAGTCCCACTTTACTTCACATTCCAGGATGTCTGGCTCTAGATGAGTGATCACACCATTGTGGTTATCTGGGTCATGATCTTTTTTGTATAGTTCTGTGTATTCTTGCCACCTCTTCTTAATAGCTTCTGCTGCTGTTAGGTCTATACCATTTCTGTCCTTTATTGTGCCCATCTTTCCATGAAATGTTCCCTTGGTATCTCTAATTTTCTTGAAGAGATCTCTAGTCTTTCTCATCCTATTGTTTTCCTCTATTTCTTTCCACTGATCACTGTGGAAGGCTTTCTTATCTTTCCTTGATATTCTTTGGAACTCTGCCTTCAAATGGGTATATCTCTCCTTTTCTCCTTTGCCTTTCACATCTCTTCTTTTCTTTGCTATCTGTTAGGCCTCCTCAAACAACCATTTTGCTTTTTTGCATTCCTTTTTTTGGGGGGATGGTCTTGATCCCTGCCTTCTATACAATGTCCTTAGTGAGCTCTTATTCTTTGAGAGAGATGTTCAGTATGAAACTATTTCAAAATTTTATTCTACTTGGCATTTTCAGATTTTTACCGTGTAAAGGCTTTTAGTTATCTTAGCCTGACTTCTTGCTGGTATCTGGTACCAGAATTCTTCTTTCACAAGGTATTAATGCTTTCTTTGTATATCTTAATGAGTAGTTGTTTGTCTACAGGAAATCTTTTCATATTTGTAAATTTCCTTTGTAACCGTTTTCCTCAGTGTATTTTTTATTGTTCTAATATTTCTATTGATAATTCCACTAGGCTTTTCCTAAGTAGCTCATCTATGAATAACAGTAATTTGAAAGAAAGGGAAGAAAGGAAAATAAACAATACATGAAAAATATGAGTATGTTATAACTCAAGATGCTAGTCTGTATCCCAGTCTGCTATGTACTCCCCTTTGCCTACTATAGTGCTTAACACACAATAGCTGCTAAAATACCTGATTTTAAAAAAAAGAAGAGAGAGACACATATATGGAATTTCTTAAGCAATCCTATTACTACATTTTCATAAACCAAATAATCTTTTATAAAATTAATCCTAGAAATTAATACCTCAAACATATAAATGAAACTGCACACAGGAGAATAAATGGGTCAGTGTTATATTAAAATGCAAAATTAGAAAAAGTTTTGCACACAAAAGCCTCTCCTAAAATTGGGCCTGATTTTTAATTAAGAGGAGGACAATCTAAGAACAGAAAGGAAGTAGCAGTAGGTAAATACGTCTGTTTAGTTAAAAGATCTTTTGGTAGTGACAGTCTGCAGGCAGTAACTAGAGTCAACATGAAATGACTTCTGATGACTGATACACACCTTCTGTTCCAGGGTGAGCTGATACTTCTGTTTGACTCTCTTACACTTGTGGAACCAGCTATTCTCATCCATGATGACTGGGGGCCCGACCTTCTCTGGAGTGCTGCTCTCACTATCACTGCTTCCCAGAGTCCTCAGCTCTTCCTCGTCACTGCTGATGCTATCAGAACTGAGAAGATTAACATTTTTTAAAGAAATAAAGTTTACAGTATGTTCCACTTTGGTTTTCTAGAAATACTTCAGCATTTGCAAGTTACTGGAAAGTAAGCTCCAAAATATTCAGCACTAACTATACGATAATGATGATCTCATCATCAGGCCTACAGACGCAACAGAAGCTCAAGTGAGGTTTACAGATCTAAGGCGTTAACACAGAAAAACTATTAGAATGTCCCAAAGACAGAGGAAAAAACTCCAAAAAAAAAAACCAAAAAACCCAAAAGGGCCGAAAAGTTTCCCAATGGGTAGTTTTCACTGCCTGTTCAATCTCCATTGTAAGGCAGACAGTACGTCACTAGTGTGCTGCCAGCGGGGGTATAATATCAGCGCAGTGCTCAAGATCAGCTCGGCTTTGACTGAGAGAAGAAAACAAGAGGTTCAGAAAACCAGTTATACCTAAACACTTCTACTGGGGGGAAGAAGGAGAGACATAGGTGAAGCAGAGAAAAAGTCCATTACAATCCATATGTAAAATTCCTTATGACATCACTCTGGTAGAAAACACAGAACAAGGCAGGGAAAAAGTAGGAGAGAAGCTAAATAAAGGAGAGAAAGGTGTGTTAAGATGATTGTCTAGTTTAGAAGAAAAATACACTTTAAAAGGAACAGGGAGCCTGGTGCACTGGGAAGACCCAGAGGGATCGGGTGGAGTGGGAGGTGGGAGGGGGGACCGGGATGGGGAATACATGTAAATCCATGGCTAATTCATTTCAATGGATGACAAAAACTACTGTAATGATGTAAAGTAATTAGCCTCCAACTAATAAAAATAAATGGAAATAAATTAATAAATAAATAAATAAAATAAAAGGAACAGGGAAAGTAGCCTCCAATGAATAAAAATAAATGGAAAAAAAAATAAAAGGAACAGGGAAAACAAATTTTAAAATATCAGCAATGATATTAACATTTAAGAAACAGCATAAAAACAGTCTATATAACCCTCAAGGTATACAAAAAATTCTAATCTAGCAAACAGAGAAACAAAATAAGAAAAAATAGTAACTTTAAAACAAAAAATAAGATGGCAGAATAAGCACTAATACAAAAGAAATTACAAAAATCTTAAAATAGGTTAAACTCAACAGCCAAGTCAGATGTTCTGGTTTGATTAAGGTAAGTAAGTGCCAACAGTAAGCTATCTATAAAATACACATGAATACAGAAAAATTAAAATTAAAAAGATGGAAACACACCTAGAAAATATGAACCAAAGGAACTCCAGGTCAGAAATTATAATTTTGTAAGTCAATATAGATATAATGGTAGAAAATACAAGGATCAAAGAAAGATATTCTATTTTTTCATCCTCCACAATCAGCGTTTGCATCTGTTGGCTTCCTGAGTCAGGTCCAAGCACAGTGCAGACTTGAATTAGAGACATCTACTTAAAAGTTCAACCCATGTGATGTTCTTAGCTAATGATCTCAGAAACAAACCAATGCACAAACACATGCCAAATGAAGTCTGCCTGTCACATCTGTGGCTCTGGGTGGCTGATAATAAAGTTTTAGTTTTGAAAAAGAGACAAGCAGAGATCTCAAACGATGGCATTTGACATTAAAAATTAAATGAATTAGCTATAAAGCAAATAAACTTAAGAGAATTAGTAACATTTAAGGTAGATATGAAGAAATTATAGTATTAAAGATTGTCAAGATGCTAAGAAAAAATAACTGCTGAATCAGGCTAGCAAGTACAGAATAATTATCCTTCCAGAAGGAGGGCAATATAAGCATATTTCCAGAAAACTAGAACTTAAGAGATTTACGAACAAATTCTCACTAAAAGAAACTTCCTAATGATTGTAGTTTAGGAAAAGCAGGAGGGAAACTGAGTTAAGAAGCACTAAGCAAAGAAAACAGTGAACTTATGGGTAAACCTAAACAAATTGAGTACAGAACTCTAACAATAATGCCTAGTTTTATGGAGTTTTAAATAAACCAACAACAAACTTACAATTCTGGACAGTAACAGCATATGTCAAGAATGAGATGATTATAGAGTTAAAACAATACAAGGTCCTCTGGATAAGTGGTAAAGATATTAAATTGAGCCTTTGTTAAGGTTTAGATATGCTTAGTAAAACTAGTACCACCATAAAAGAAAAGCCTATAAAAGAAGCCTAGTAAAAGAAGAGTCTATAAATTGTAAATGAGTAAGGAATAAAATGGCAGAAGTTAACCTCCCCCCCCCAAAAAAAAGAATCAAAATAAGAAGACAGAAAGAGTAGAAAAGAATGTAGGACAAACAGAAAGTAAGAATGTGCTGTGTGCTGTGCTAAGTCACTTCAGTCGTGTCCAACTCTGTGCAACCCCATGGACTGTAGCCCACCAGGCTCCTCTGTCCATGGGATTCTCCAGGCATGAATACTGGGGGGTTGCCGTGCCCTCCTTCCAGGGGATCTTCCTGACCCAGGGATCGAACCTGCATCTCTTATATCTCTTGCACTGGCAGGTGGGTTCTTTATCACTAGCGCCACCTGGGAAGCCCTAAGAAAGCAAAAGAGTGGATATCAACCCAAAAATATCAGTAAATACCCTAAGCACCTCAGTTAAAACATAAAGCCCATTAGACCAGAGTTTTTAAACTCAAGTAGTATTTTTAAAATATGTGTGTGTGTATACTTTAAGAACATAAAGGCATGAAAGGTTAAATGAATTCTATTTTATCAGTTCTTACTGATAAAATTTTTCATTTTTTCACATAGTAACACACCTGAAATCAGGGTACAACTTACAACTAATGACATATTACTACAGCTGTGAAACCAATTTCTCACATACTAAATAAAAGGTATGTCAGACTAAATATAGTTTTAAAAAAAGACGCTAGAAAAATATTAATCTAAACAAAGCTGGTTAGATGCCATTAACATCAACTAAGTAAACTTCAAGGAATTTTTTTTAATTACTATGTATTACATCAAGATGAATAAAGAATTCTAAACTTGTATGCATCTGACAAGTTAGTTTAAAAAATATGCAGTAAAAATCAAAGGACCTCAAGGAAAAACCAACAAATCAAATATCACAGTAAAGAACTTACTACATTTAAATAATTAAAAAGATGAAAAAAGGATAAGTGAGAAAGGACAGACATAAAATACTGTACTAGAACACCACCATTAACAAGCATAATCTAATGAATATTGGACCCACTCACTGGAATACCACTGATTCTAGATCATTTCTCAATAAATTTCAAGGAACTATTATAATAACTATAATATTATGTAGACCACATTCACTAATCATAACCAAAACAAAGGCACTTAAAATATCTGAAAATTAAAAATTATATTCCAAGTAACCTTTGGTCAAAAAAATTATAAAGGAAACTGTACTTTAAACAACAAAAATAAAAAATAACATCAAACTTTTAGGATGCAGCTAAAGTAGTACTTCAGAAGGATGTTTATAAGTCTTATTTACTCATAAGAAAAGAAGTAAATTTAAGTTTTGAGAAAGCAAAGATCATAAAAGCTCTGAACAAACTTGGCATAGGGAATATACTTCAACATAATACCGGTTATTTACATTGAGCCCATAGCTAACACCATATTCAATGCTAAAAAGCTGAAAGCTTTTCTTCTAAGATTAGGAATAAGACAAGAGTACCCACTCTCATCACTTATATTCAACATCGCAAGTCCTAATGAGAGAGCAATTAGGCAAGAAAAGGAACTAAAAGGCATCCAAGTAAAAAAGGAAGAAATAAAACTGTCACTATTCATATATGACATGATATTATACATCAAAATCCTAAAGACTACCAAAAAAACTGTTAGAACTTATAAACAAATTCAGTAAAGTTGCAGGATAAATACCAATATACAAAAATCAGTAGCATTTCCATATAATAATGATCAACTATCAGAAAGAGGAATTAAGAGAACAATGTCACTTTCAGTTGCATCAAAAAAAAATAAAATATCTACAGAAAATTCAACTATGAAGGTGGAAGACCTATACACTAAACACTATAAGATGTTGATGAAAAACTACAGAAGAAACACTTAAATGGAAAGATAATTTTGTGTTCACAAATTGAAAGACTTAATACTATTAAAATGTCCATACTACCTAAATCAATCTACATATTTAATGTGATGCCTACAAAAATTCCAATGCATTTTTCACAGAAATAAAATGCACAATTCTAAAATGTGTATGGAACCACAACATACACCCAATAGCCAAAGCAATTTAGAGGAAGAAGAACAGAACTGGAGGCATCACACTTCCTGCTTTCAAAATATATTACAAATCTACAGTAATCAAAACAGTACAATACTGGCATAAGTACAGATATATAGATTAATAAAACAGAACAGAGAACCCAGAAATAAACCCATGTATATATTTATGACCAAGGAGTTAAGAACATACAATGGGGAAAGATAGTTTTTCCAACAAATGGTGCTGAGAAAACTAGTCAGCCACACACAAAGAATGAAACTAGACCTTATATCTTATACCATATGCATATTGTATATCTTGTACTGTATACCATATGCATATCTTATACCATATGCAAAAATCAATTCTGAATTGATTAAAGATTTGAATACAAGACCCGAAACTGTAAAAATTCTAGAAGAAAACACAGTGGGTTTTGTGTCACAGTGGGTTTTTTGACATCAATCTTGACAATGATTTTCAGATTTGACAGACACACACACAAAGTCAAAAAAAAAAAAAGCAAAAGCAAAAACTAAGAAGTGGGCCTACATCAGACTAAAAGTCTCCCACATAGCAAAGGAAGCCAGTGACAGAATAAAAAGGCAACCTCCTGAAAGGGAGGAAATATTTGCAAATCATCTATCTGATAAGGAGTTAATATCCAAGAGAACTCAACTGCAAAACAACAACAACAACGTGACTGAAAAATAGGAAAGGAATGGAATAAATATTTTTCCAAAAAAGACATAGATAGACATACAGTCAA